GCAGATGGGATACGGCCAATATGGTCCGGTGGGTTCTGATGGAGTATGGATTTGGAATTCAGGTCTCCGTGCACTTGCGGAAGTTTACACGGCTATCCATTGACGTGGCGGCAGCAAAATTCAAGAAGATGCCAACCGCGCATACGTTGTGAGCCGTTCCACTGCGATGGAAGACTAAGTTAATGCAATTGGTTGTGTTGATGGAACTCTGTTGTGACGAAGCCTGTCTGTGGGAGCTAAGCGCATTTCAGTTGAAAAGATGTTGCAGAGAATGTGGATGAGATGTAATGAGGGGCTGGACGTCGCACGGGTAGTGCAATCTGCTGCCGTTTGCACACACCACACACGTGCTGCCTCGAAGTACCCGAGTGGGAGATCTGCTTGCTCTTATTCTGTGGTTTATGGTAATTGCTCTATTGATGATATGCTTGAATTGAAGCAACAACCTATCCTCACAACCGCCAACCAATTTTGCGACTCAGGGAAAATCACTTTGGGAATGACAGCCCTCACGTTGGGGCTTCGCTGGACGTCCTTGCGTCCATCCTGGCTGCCAACGGCAGAATACACGAGGCTGAAGAAGCCGCTCACAGGGCCGTGGACATCAAAAGGAAATCTCTGGGGTCGGAACACCCTGAGGTGGCCAAATCTCTGCTTTGTAAGTTGCGCACTCTCCCGCTCTGTCTCCGACACGTCGCATCGGCTGCTTCCCGGCTTTCGGGCCCCTACTAGTGTACACTAAGCGCTGGTGCTTCGATTCCATCTGCAAACAAAACAATTACAATTTGCAGCATGTGGGATGCGATACTTGTTTTCACGTTCTTCTGCACGATTGGCGTTGAAACCGCTGAATTTCGAACGAACAGAATAGTAGAGCAGCGGGAACACAGACACGACTGCAATGTTGTGGCTTCGTGGAATGACGTCTCCAGGTGAAACCCTTTGCTCACAGAATCTGGCACTCAAATTGTGGGAAAATGGCCATGCATTGCATGTCATGAGAACTTCACCTATCGCCCCTGCCCAACATCCCAAATGCGATTCGCTGCGCCACTGCATCCATAGGCGATAGTAGACAGTTTGAACAAAGCCTGCATAACGGCAACGAGTGTATTGGGGGATACCAACGGCATTGCTGATTGCCCCAGGCCTTGGAGAGACTTTGATGAAAGGCTTACAGCACGGAGTGGCGAAGACGAAACTGGCCAAAGCCTTGGACGTTTATGGCTGCACAGTTGGGTCAGACCACCCCATGACTGCGCGTGCCGCCAAACTGCTGAAAGACTGCAATGATGCTATAAAATCGAGGAAGAGTGCGGAATAGACAACGCAAAAGGACAAATTGCAAACTAGGCAATCGGCAGACGCGAAATGTGGTGATCGCGCACTCCATAGGCCTTTCAGAATTCTAACACTGGGCACTGACACATTTCATTTCCTGTCCAGCACATCGAGCTTCGGTGATCGAAGTGGCGCTTTGCCAATAGGTGTTTCGAGTGCACGGGCATGCATTTATCGATTCTGGCAAAAATAGGTAGTGAAGGGAACTTGTCCTCATGCGCCACCCAGTATGTTTTAAATTAAATTCCGTTTGGGAACAGGCATTGTGCGGTTATCACATTACTTCCATGTACCTAAGCGCAACTCTGTGAACAACGTTCCAGGAATTGGCGGTGCTATGTTTCTTATTGGGTTAACTGAACACCCCTGCCCACGCTTGCACATGGTTGCTCCCAAGCATGGGAAACAAGGCGTAACCAGATATGTTGTTACACAAGCATGTCAACCAAATAGTTCGCAGCAAATTCCCCTTATTAGTAATCACCATACCCACATTTGTTGTGTTTTATCACCGTGTTCACAGTGTCCAATCACACCATATTTCGCATCATTCCCCCTATAATTACTCACCATAGTTTCCTTTCCCTCCTGGGCTTCCCTGCGCTAGACCATTATTTGCTCAATAGCCTTGCCCTTTTAGACTACATCTTTGCAGACCAAATCATATCTATATGTTTAATCCAGAGTTCCCCTCTGGCGCCCGCGCTTCCCACACTACATCAGTTATAGGGCGAATCAATTATCTTGAACCCTTTCACCAGGGCTCGAGCTTTTGTCCTTTTGTGTCTCAACCTTTGTGCTCCACAACCGCACTCAATCCCCTGCCTTGAATGTTCATTGTATCTGCCGTCCCCTCATCCTGTGGTTCGCCTTCACGCGCTGCCAATGCGCATGCTTGTGTGGCCGTCTCCACAAGGCCTGCGAACTATGCCACAATTGTTTGGCGACCTGAATGTGAAAGAGCTAGGAGTCTCCTTGCTCTTTTATAGCAAAGAAAGAGGAGTGTTGCTATATATCTCCGTCGACCACTCAATTGCCCTGGCAAAAATACCTAGGTTCCTCTGCCTGCATTTGGTGCAAGTGATTCAATAATGTCTGGTTGAACCATTCCACAAAAACATGGATGCATTGCAATAAAAAGGCGAGTAGTTCTGCATCACCCCTCTTGCGAACACCAAGTCTGTAGCTCTTTGGATTGTGTGGCCTTGCACATATTGGGACACAAGACTGAAGGTGTTCCATATATATTTGCGCCTACTTTTAGCCCTCGCACAATGCCTGTCCCTCTTGTAGCCATCTTCGCCCATGGCCCCGTCTAGTTAGCATGTCCATGATAATGAGAACGAACCGCTTCTTCCTCACCTTCCAATCAGAAAAGGCCCCAGTGACACCCCCAAGCCAATGATTTGGTCAAGCCTTTATGGTATGTGCCAATTGCCTGAAGGGTTGGATGGTTGCATTCGATGCAACAATTGACACTCCTTGCATGACAACATTCTATCCATCACCCATTGCCATGCCAGACACATACGCATTTAGCAAAAATGAAGATATATTTCTCTCGCTTTAAAATGCCCTACATGGGCTTGCTTCCATTGTGCTTGAGAGATTTTGCCTTCCACTACGCGAATGTGAGATGGTCGCGAAATCCAAGCCCGCCTGTTTAGACATAAAATCTGCCAACTAAATAAATGGCCCTAGGGAAAATGGAATCTGAGGAGAGTACCAGAAAATATGGTTTAGTTGCCGCTTGAGGAAATCGCTCAAGTTGGAGGGATTGTTGAAGCTCACTACGGCTTGGTTATCTATGATTACATGAACTAGGGCACCGAAAATCCACAATTGGAATGTCTTGAGAGCCCTGCAGAGTGCCTCTAGCTTCAACACATTGCTGACATACTAAAAACCTATTGACCACAATCCATATGCACAGTGGATGATCCACCAGCCAACTAGTAAACCGCACCCCAGAGAGAGAGCAAGAGAGAGAGAGAGAGAGGAGCGAGCTAACACCTGATGGCCCCACCAAATCAAGCGAGCAACGTGGTTAAGCCAACCGCGAATCTGATGCCATCCTAAGTAATTCATAGGCATAGGAGCCTTGCCGAACTGAGTCAAGATCAAATCTGTAGTCTCCAGTCCAGAAGAAGTCAACGTCGCCTCTAGATAACCAAAATGGTTCTACCAGAATTGCAGTAACCCCGGTTCACCCATCACCCATACTGCTCCAAAACCATATCAGAATAACTGAACACTTTGCACACGCTATTTCGTGGTTGGATTCAGGCGTGGGAAGCATATACGTTACAAATCAACCAAATAGAGTTCATAGGAAATGTCCCCAGTTAGTAATCACCATTCCCATATTCACCGTGTTTTTGTCGCCGTGTTCACTGTGTCCAATCACACCATATTTCGCATCATTCCACCCATTATTACTCGCCATAATTTCCTTGCCCTTGTTAAGCCGGTGCCCTTCGACTGGGCAGCACAGCAGCCGGCTCTCTCGCGGACGCCCGGCGGAGGATCGCGTGGTTGAGACAGGCCCTCGCGGCCAGAGTCCTTCGCGGTCAGTAATCCCAGCGTCGTTACAAAACCCCGTCCAGCCATTTATAGGTCTGCTCTAAATCCATACAGCTCATCAATACGTACAGGTTGCTTGACATTCGAATGAAATCCCGAGAACTCACCCCGAACTCCCTAGCCCGTCCCTTCGCTACATTCTGTCCCCACGTACCCGCATCTATTCCTCTAAGCCAGCCTACCGGGACCCGTCCGCCCGCCGGCGTTCCTGAGGTCCCTACCCAGTAACTCCCCCACTCTCCCGTACCCGCGCTCCGCTACCCAGTCCTCACCTAACCTCCAACCGATCTCCTAACGCCCCACTCCCTTACTGCCCACTCTTCCAATGCACTACCCTTCTCCGATCGACCCGTGCTCATCACACCCTCACATTCCAATGCTAAAAACAAGTATAGATTCCGTGTGTGTACACCCGGTCTATCTTGTGTACCACGTGCTCGTAGGCCACATGTACACATCCTTAAAGTCCCTACCGCAGCTTTCTGCTACTGGAATGCCTTCTACTCTGAAATACTTGTAAAGTGGTATACGGGGAATGTTCAGACGCAGTGTGCGGCAAGATTCAAATCTAAGAAAAGGTACATGGAGGTGCTGATAACTGTAAGCAAACCAGGAAGAACCTTCAGAGAGTATGGTGGGGATAAATGTTCTTGGCTCTGAATTGCTTTCTGACATGGAGTGTTCCTGGCTCAAAGGTGTCAATAGAATGAAACAACTAAAGCTCTGAACCAGGCGCATACAGAATCAGAAGACGAAGCATTGAGCTGGCTTTGCAATATCAACTTGTAAACTAGAATATTCCTAGGCTCTCACGCATTAGATACACAGTACAAATTCGTGGAGTCACTCCAAACATTTGTGCTTACCCACTGCTGAGTAGGAAAATATCCTGAAGCCTGTTCTTCAGTGTAGGAAACCCACAATACAAAGAACTACCTATCCCCGAAGGTGTTGCATTGCAACCTCATCCCTCAAATTCCAAGCTGAAGCAACCCAACAACATACTACTTGTAAACATTACCAAGATACAAATCGTACATTCTAGCCTCTATCTGCAAGAATATTCTATGCCTTCATCACCAGATTTGTGAAGAAGATCCTACAAAAGCCGCAACCCCTGCAAGTATCCACCCATTCCTTTCGTCCTTGTCTGCCACGGGGAATTGCAGCTCTGTCAAAATTTCGTCCTGATCCGTTGTGGAGTACAGCGGAACAGGCACGAATGCGTGGTGCAGGGGCGGGATGCGCTGGGGCACCCACGCAAAGGTAGTCAGTGGCATTCTGGAAAGCATCGGCGAATCCTGCGCCCACAAGGAGTTGGCAATAAGAACACCTGATGTTACGATTTGCAGCTCCCATGAAATATTGCTTGTGGTCTCTATCTCGGGACAGGACACCCGTGACCACCGCCAGCTGAAAGAAATGGGGCTTGAAATGTCCTCCGACGCGGGCCCTTTCTAACACTGTATGTCGGGGCGACTGTGTACATTTCCAATGGAAACGATTAGTCGCAGCTCGCGTGCAAATTCACCCATGCTGCCATGACACTGACCGCCGTGACGCTTCATTTCGTGTGTGTCTGTGAATCGGATACCGGATATCGGAGCAGATGCTGGAGCTGCATAAGGGGCTATTGACTACTGTACCACCTGCGAGATGTGCGCCAGCTTCACTCCGTCGAAGCACGCTCCCCGCACGTACAGCCCCTCCACGCGAGCGCACACGCAGCCCGACGCCTGCAGCCTGAGAGCCGCGTCCCCCCAACACGTCACCATCTTCAGCTCGTTGATGGCCGAACTCAGGCGCCGCGCGGCGTGCTGCCGCACGGCGCTGAGAAACGTCCCCGGATGGAACCAGTGAGACAGGTTCACCTGCCAGCCCCCGCCGCCCGCCTCCAGCCACTCCTCTCCCGAAGCCGACGCCCTCGCCCTCTCCTCCAGCCGCTCGACGGCCTCCAGCCTCTCCACGACGACTTGGCAGTACTTAAAGGGGTCCGACGGTCCTCTCAGTGTCTTATGCCAGGATGCAGGGACGCACCCCTCGTGAAGGCTTGTTCCGTCCCTCTCCACGCAAGCCGACAGTCCCTCTGCGCCCCTGAGGGCTTTGGATATGGAGCCCAGCGTGTTGCTTATCCTGGCCAAGGCCCGGCGGCCGCAGTCGCCCTCCGCCGTTGGAAATTGTTCGAGGACGGTCTTTGAGGCCTGGGAGCGCCAGGACGCGCTCCTGCTGAGGGTGCGGTGCGGGTGCCGGGCAGGGTTTATGCCTGGGTGCGCCGCCAGCAGGCCGTCCCAGTGGCGCAGCAGCGGCGACAGCGACTTGGTCCACTCCTCCAGCCTGGTGCCAGATTTGCACACCTGTCGCGGCCAGAATAGTCGTCGAATTGGCGATCCGACGCCAGTGCCGTCCCCATTGTAACGTAGCCATTGCAACGTGGATGGTTCCACGAATCAATCATCAGTTGTTGTAAATTGGAAATAAGGAAAGGGGATCAAGAGTCCGCTTGCGACATCTTTGAAAAAAGCACGAAAATGTGCCAGGATTGTATCAGAATGGGAACAAACCGGAATAACAAAGGAGATAGTGAGAGGGCAAGGGCGGCGATCATTCACTGGAGATACGGCTTTCCTGCGGGCTCAAATGAAGCACTGGAAATCAATGAAAGAAGATACGTTTCGAAATCGCGCGTCTCGACGCCTTTATGCGACCTGGCGTCGTAGAGCGCCCACCTTTGATACATTCAAATGCCTCAAGAGCGAAACCACTCTCTCCGACTGAGCTTCCTGTGCACACCGCTCGATGTTGGGCGGCAAACCAAACATGCGGGGGTCGTCATGATCGGCCAGGGTCTGTATCAGCTGCACGTGGGTGTGGCGATTGGCATTGGAAGGCACCATCACCCGGGTGCCCATGAGGGGCTTCTGCTTGCATCCCATCCCAATGGTTTCCGGTGCGAAGGTGTCTTCCATGTATGTTGTCAGCACCTACGGAGAGTATCAAGCTTGGCATCCAGTCTGCAAAAACAGGCAACAGCGCCCTGCAGGTCGCCAAGATAGGCGGTGCCATGGAACCGAGTTTCTATCGCATCAGCATTCCGTGCTGCAGAGTGCACCGAACGACTGAGCGCCGTGCAAATGGGCGCATTCTGGTATGCCTGCACGCTGAAAAATGCTGTGCATCACGCTGCCCCGTTCCGCACTATTTCTCCTGATGCTCGCCGCCATGTTCAACGGAGCGTGTGGGCCGTCGCTGGGGAGAAAATTCCATTCCCCCTCCATATTATATATAGCATAGACGAATCGGCGCCTTTTCCAGAACATGGCCATATTCTGAATACGGGGCTTCAATATCCTTGACGTGTGCGAGGACATGGCCTACCCAGAACACGGGATCCCGTATCGTGGACATGGTCATGCCCTGGATATTACCATATCCTGAATGTTCGTATCCAGAAAAAGCAAGGTTTTCCTCAGGGTCTGAATTTCGATCGCTTTCGTCGCGGGAGCATCAGCACAACCGCGCATTAATTGCACTGTTTTGTAAGCCTACAGGCAACTGTCGCTGCTTTGTTCAAGCTCTGTCCGTAGCTGACCTTCATGTCAATGTCGTTATCAATGCGCCCTCCGTATATGGCGTTCTCCAGCAATCCGCGGAGGTAGCGCCACGGCGCCTGCTTGCCGCCCTCAGTTCTCAGACAAATCATGTCGGCACCGCTTCTCAGATCAGAGAACGAAAACTCATAGAATTTCTGCCAGCCCTGAGGTATGTAATTGCGGCGCTCTTGGAGGATCGCGTGAAACCACGAGAGGCTGAACAGGAGCTGGGCCCGCACTGGAGGTCCCGAGCCCAGGAAGTCTTGTCCCCATGCGTCGTAGGTCCTTTGGAGATTTTGCTTCACACCTGGAGGCGCTTCGAATGTGATCTGCGGGCGCAGGAATGCGGATACAGAATGTCTCATTGATTCTGACAGCCAAGGGAAAATGTTGGTTCAAGGGCTTGGTTGAACATCTTTAGAAAAAGTATTATTTTTCTTAGTTGATGAAAACTTTTGTGCAGAATTGTGAGGTCCACAACCTGGTAGTTCCAGGGTGCTTTTGATTTGTTTGGTGGCAGTGGTGTTTGACTATTTGAGTTCGGCAAAACATGTGACAGGACCAGTGTGTCGATTTTTCACGTTGCCTGCAAGGATGTTAATTAATTAATCCATTGATTCATTCACTGATTCATTCATTGATCATTAATTCATTAGTTCATAATTAATTAATTAATTATTTAATTAATTCATTCATTCATTCTTGTGGGACACAGTGCCTGTGGGTCGCAGTTCTTGTGGACCTTGTTCTGCTCACAGTTCTTGTGGGTCACAGTGGGATCTGGAGCCTGAGGCCTCATTGCTCGTGGCTTTTTTACTCTTCGCATTCAGTCATCTTTCTTTTTGCCAACAGACAGCTGATTTAATGGAATAGTTGTTATTCATTCCATTTCCTAGCTTTTTCATCAATGATTCCTAATGAACAAGCGTCCAGCGAAAACACAATCCGAAATGGGCGAAATCGCAAACACAATCACTGTTTCATCTACCTTGCGGCAGCATTCCAAGAGGCCTGCGGGGAACTTCTCGTGAGGCTCCGTTGTAAGGAATAGTCTGAAATCCCTGCTCTTCTCCACTTCGTAAATCTGCTTTTCCAAAATGGGCAGCCAGTGTACCATCAAATGTAAATTCTTCAAACACAGCCACTCGCCTGGTGCACACAGAACAATTTTAGTATCGCCAGGAGATTGCTTCGTTGCAGTCGACGCTGCGATAGGGAAATGCCAAATTTCACCTTAGAAATAGCACTACCCGGCTTCCCTTTTTCATGCCACTGTTCGAACGGCACCGTAATGCAGCAATTCAGAGAAAGCAGGCAGCGCTTGTTACCGGCCAAGAGCACACTGCTGGCACACCACCTGCGGCACATTAGCCCAGGCTTAAGCGCTGATATAAATGTCGCCAAAAGGATCATTTTCTCCAGTGACACAGAACACAAAATTTCTACGAGACCACTCGAAAGTCGTTTGGCCGAAGCGCCGTACCATTATCGGCGCATTGCCTGAGGAGCTGCATAGCCGACTCGGCCTGCCCCTGTCCCATGGCCACCTCGTGGTACCGGTCGCGACCAACGTGATCCCTTGCGAGCTCCCGGAGCTCCTGCGAAGGATCTGCCGAGGTGCTCGTGATGAACAGCACCGGCTCGTCGCACGAGCTGTCCTCTGTGAGAGTGCTGAAGCTGAAGGCCGAAGGGGAAGCGCTCTTGACGTTGAGGGCGCCACACACGAACAGGGCCATCGCATTGTGAAGTCTGCGAGAGAAACGATGTCAAAACCACGAGTCGCATTTCCAAAGTTAAGCTTTTCAGTCGAGAGGATTGCGCTGAAGTCAAGTCGATTGCTTTGTTTGATTTAGGTTCTTACACTGGACCTGTGTATCGCAATCGCTTCGGGTGTATGAGGCGTTCTGAATATTTTGAGTCAATTCAGACGTGCGTCTGAATCGGTGATTAGATGCGCGTCTAATCGCCGCTCAGGCGCTCTTTGCCCAGCTGGTGCAGCTCTAACTCTACACCTTGACCAACTATTGGCGGTGCATCCGTACCGTCAAAATTGCTTCAAAATTGGATTCTATCCTGAATAATGCGACAACTGGCTCCAGCAAAAAGACACGAAGATACGGAGCGCTTGATAACCGAATTTAGAAAAACTAAACATTCACAATATTGACATCAAAAACATTTGCTCATCAATTTGTACGATTCCCACACCCACCTATCCGGCCTCAATGCCTGGATCACCGCAAGCTGCTGCAATGCGCTCATTCTTGCCACCGCGTGCGCCGGCATCGTGGCTTCGGGCTCTACGGACCTCAACCACGGCGCCCAGACCCCAGCATCCTCGAAATCGCACTCCTCCAAGAGGCCAGGAAATTTGGCCACAAGCGCCGAGAACGCCGAGCTGTTCTCGCCTCGTACCCAAGAGCAGCCGGCGGCGCCCCTGGCGTGCCGCCCGTCCGACCTCGACTTTTGCAGGAAATGGCCCCACAGGTCGTCGTTCACCACATCGGCGCGCAGGGCGCAGACGAGGTGCATGTCGAGGGCCATGCGATCGGAAATGAACAGTCCCCGGGAGGCGGTTGCGAGGAGGAGCTGCCATTAAAACTCACGCGTCAGGGGCGCCAGTGAGAGGCGCTGGTGGAAAACTTCCTATAATTACACGTACAATGGGAGGAATCTTCTTGCTATGTACTGAAGTATTAGATTTCTCCCTTCAGAGAAAATAGTTTCTGGCCGTTCGAACTTGCACGGAAGTGCGACAGTTCAAACAATGGCAGCCTGGCAAAGCGTCAGATGACGGCACAATTGTTCACTGCTCCATCCCGTCGCCGTAGCGAGGAGCAAGTACGCTTCTCCCTGGATTGGATATCGCTACCCGGAAATTTTCTTCATTCCGATAGGCTACGGTTTGCTGGATCATCTTTGGCGGGGTGTTCGAACACACAAAGCGAACGTGGCGCGAAGAATGCACTTCCACTTCGATGCCGAACTCGCGTTGCTAAACACGTTTGGCGAAATCGCCGCCCCCTGTTGCCCCTCGGTCATGGGGCCACCAGCCTGGGGTGCCCGATGGCAAGGCGCATCGCGCATTGTGTAGCAAAGCTGCCATGTATTATTGTGTGCGCAGTACTTGACGAAGGAATATACGTTGAACAAGGCAACGCACGAACGCTTACAATTAAATGCACAGCATAGCATGATGACGTTACAAGAATATCGCTGGCCATGAACGTAGATGTTGCGGTGTGTTTGCACGAAATGCAATAGCATACGAAAAGCAGCAACAGTGCCATAATAGCCGCCACGATAACATAATCCAAAACGGGGGCAAAGCAAGATAAGCGCGTGTCACTGCGCCAGAGCACCAATGCAAAATATTTTCAATCTCGCGAGCGATCAACTGATTGGCCATGGTTGAAGAAACACGAATTGGGAATGCCGCTTCAATGCAGCGCAAAATTCATCTTCAAATCGTAAGCTGGAGTCGCTTTCAGAGTGTAACAGAGACGCTGAATATTTTTTTCAGCGGGAACATAGTTGGGCACAATGGGCTTTGCAAATCACGGTGGATGGCCCTGTGCAATACCGCAACGCTCACCTCTATTAGCGTGTTGCTCAACAGTGATACACGCGACGGCACATCAGCCGATGGCCCTGATGTATGCAGGGCCTTCCTGAAGATTGAAAGGAACCATGGCAAAGAGAACCGGTACATGTGGTTGATGGCCGATAAGTCCTTGACGGCGAGAAACATCTGCGACCCTCTGAAACGCAGCAGCACAAATGAGGTCGCAACATTGCCATAAGTTAGAATGCGCAACTAAAACTCGCAAGAGGAAGATTCGAGTCTCGCACCAGAGGCAAATCTACATATTTTGTGCTGAAAACAACACGCAGGTCCCTATTAGATCAACGTGGATGCGTTGGTCTGCAAGGATTGTTGCGATCTGTTGCACATCTCAATGCACTGTGGAAGCGGTGGAAAGTGCGCTCAATTCAATCTCAGCTGATTTGAGCAGCTGTCGGTGCCGAATTCTTTCCAAATAAACATCTGTTTGCCAAGAGGAAGCGCAAAGAATTCTTTCTATCTGCGACAGTGCCATTCGAGAAACTTGTCGCGCATGCGTCTGGACGTCTTTAACTTGAACAGTTGGAAGGGAGGAAAATGTCAAAACAAGTTGCAAACTAGCTTCATTGTTGGAGGCGGACTTCTTCCCACCTTTCCGCGACGTGTCGATATAAATTCCTTTGCTCGTCCAAGCTTCTGTGGACTTCCGCGGATTTCGTCAGGCCGTCTTGTATAGTTAGGCTCTTTGCTTTGGTCTCGTTCAGCGACTCCAACAAGTCCTTGTTTTCGAGCACGTTTCCCTCGGACGTTGCCAGGGCATGGAGAAGCTGCTTCTCCAGGGCAGCAAGTTGTATCTTGAGCTCTTCTTCCTGGCGGAGCAGCTCGGTTCTCTGCCTTTCGAGTCCCGGCTGCTCATGCTGAATGGTGAGGCTAAGGAGCTGGCCTGTGCGCAGGCGCGGGTGTTAAGTCTTGAAAGCAACTAAACGCAAGCGCCAATCCCTTCTTCGAAGAAGGGGTGAATTCGTTGCTGGTGATTCTGAACTCAATTTGTGGCAGTCGAGAACATAATGTGCAAGACGAGAAACCGCAACTGGACATTCGCAACCATTTCGCAATAATTTCCTTCAGTCTGGATGTTGGATTTTGTACAGTTCTTGGGCAAGAGGCCTTTCCTCTGCATTATGCGTACCCAAGTCACCAAATCATATTTGGGTTACCCTGCGGGTGCATATAATCCAGAGCAACCACGGCCGTTGTACAACGGCAACACATGTGCTGGCGGCGGCATCGGTGTTGATTCGATAAAGGTGTCGCTAGCGTGATAAAATGGCAAAATTCTGTTGGAACTCCCCCCCACCCCACCCCCCCACCCCACTAATTGGCAGCAATTGGCGCAATTGCTCGCTTGCAGTTGTTGCATAACGATGTCTCCATGCATCCATGCGCTTTTGCAATACTTACCTTCCAACCCTTCTCTCGTAATTGTGAAGGTTGTGAGAGCCACCAAGGAGCGTGCACTGGGCGCCAGTCTGGGAGTGGGATCCCTCGAGACCATGAAAAGGCGAAACGATTCATTATAGTCAACGAGCTTGTCTCCAACCCTGACGACCGAGCGATGGCCTCGTGTTTCCAGGTCCCCCCTGAGCAGGGGATACATCAAAGGCTCAATCGAACTGACGTCTTGTGCAATCAGCGTTTTGCCAAACCGGATGGCCAGCTCCAGAGACGTTCCGAATCTCTCGCTCTGAGTGCTGCAAACCTCCACCGCCTTGTTCTCATGCCTGACGTGGGATTCCAGCCACTTTATCGCCTGCGGCTCATTAACAGGGTCAGAAAGTGGGCATCCAAGTGATAAGGGGAAGGACGTGCATTCCGGGAGTTCATCGAGATGGAAAGCAACGCGAGCAGTAGAGCTTGATGCACCCAGCGCCTCTCTGCGCTGCTTCATATATTTCGTGGGCTTCACCGTGGCCGACGCCCTGTTTCTAATTGCGTAAAATGGACATTTTGAACACATTCCAGCACTCCAAACAAATGCTTTCTGTGTGTTGCATGATTGGGAATTTAGAGAAGCCTCAAGACCAGGGACGGCGCCGCAACAAGGAGCACACTTTGGCGATTATGGGTCTCGTCCTCAACGCAAATATGTGCTATTCCAATTGATTGGCATTACGTTCACAGGAAGCTTGAGGGCGGTAGGGCAGTTTCGTGTCCAGAAACAATCAGCACAGCCAAGAATGGACTACAAGGGCGCCATAACTGTTGCGAGATTCCGCGATGCGCCACTCTATATATGCTGGAAAACTTATGGAAATCACGGCGCTTTTCGGATTATTCTTATTGAAGAAGCCATCTTAGTAAATCCTTGGGTTTGCCTCCGAACAACCCCCCATTTCTTAGAGGGTACCGGGGCGCTCTTTCATACATGACAAGGAACTTTCCATACAATGTATACACTGAAGCCATTCGATGTCGAAAACTGCAAAGATGCCAAAATTTCCAGCACAAAGACAGTTGCAGTCCGCAAAGTAGGTGCACCTCACTTTCGCATATTCAGAATTCCCCTCGTGAGGCATTTAGACATAAAGAGATAGATATGTGTACATAAGGAGAAAGGTAAAAGAGAGAGGTAAAAAGATCATCAATTAGACACAACAAGATATATCCAAACATGAAGGCCCTACCGTATTTGTTGGGTCGACCATGAGAGGAACGACGTTACTGTGTAGAACTGCAACAGCGTTCTCCACTGACAAGTTGTCGCCTGGAAGTCCCTCCAATTTCCAGGTTAGCCTCTCGCTTTCGGTGCTCATGAAACGCAAGAAATTGAAGTCATCGGTTCTCAGAACCTTTGACCATTCCTGGAGGTTGAGCGTAGAAACTCCGACTGTAAGTTTAATACGACGCTGCAAGCTTGAGCCGTTTTATTCATCCATTTCAAAGACAGAGCATAGCGAGATGTTATATATTGCGCCAGGCGCTGCTTACGTTTTATGAATGCCTGAAGCAATTCACAACTTCCAGATCAGTCCATTTGTCACCTGCATGTCCCATGTCCTGCATGTTCTGGCAGAACATGCCAATATACAGGATATACTGTTGTGTCCAGGATATTCACATCCGGGATGTTGCGCCCATATCCACGATATGCAACCTTTTCTCCCACGTTGCGTAGTGATTAAATCTGGTTGCTAAGGACACTGCAGGAGCACGCCATACTCGGTGGAGAGAATTCGTGCTAATGCGCGGATGCGCGTCGTTTGGATGGGGAGTGACAGTATCCCTATGACAATTAATGCAACGACGCAATCGATGCCTGCATCAGCGATTTGTCACCGGGCATTCCTCAAACCCAGGCTTATTGAAAAATCAGTTACACGTACCTTTTGAATATTTTCGCGCGAGCCCTCTGTCTCGGATGGCAAGTATATGATGAAGCTCGCGGACATGGCAGCATTGACGGAAAGCAGGGATACGGATTTTGCCAAATCGTTGACCTGGCTTTCCCATCTAACTTTTTCGCCGCTGAGCTTTCCCAGAAGATTTTCGGCTGCAAACAGAGTGCTTTCTGCATGCTCGAGGCCCGACCTTAGAACTTCCGCCTCTCCAGTCTTCTTTTGAAATTCGATTTTGAGATTGCAGACCTGAAGCAATGACGAAACTTCATTGTTCACTGGCTCTGTTCCTAGCGCACACGCAAAACTAGGGGATTTCGTTTTTAAGGCGCGTCATCGCTCCTAGGAACTGGACTGGAACAGCAGTCTCAAAGCACTTCATGCCGCTTGGGCATCTGCTTCACCGGCACCCAGGACCATGAAACCAATTCTGCTCTCTAGATGCGATACCATGCATGCAGCCCTTGACATTTAAGTTGTTTAAATAAATCAAATCCTCTCTTGCTGCCGATAGCACATTGCCTTTTCCTGTCGAAACAAAACATCAGCTGATTACAAAATACCTGCTGATCCAGAGCGGCCAGATCCTCTTCACAAGTAATGAGCCGATCTTGAGATGCTTTCAAGGACGCCGTCAAGCCTTGCAGCTTGTCCTCGAGGGGAGCCACATTCTCCAGAACTTTTGAAAATTCCAAGTTTGCCTTCACCCAGGATGCCATGGGAGCAGCTGCCACGCTCACGTGGTATATGTTGGCGTGCTCGAAAGACGCTGCTTTAGACTGCAGAAGCTTCTCAACCTGAACCCATATGGAAGGAACGAGTAAACGCCTGGACACGATTCTAAATTGGAAAATTTTGACTTTGCATGATGGAGATATTCGGCTGCCATATATGCACCCCGGCCGACAGCAGCACAGTTGTTGGACTCGCATCGCCCGATGACCAATCGCAATTTTGTCAAGGCAGTGGGGCGTTAACTGCCAAAATAGTATGGGAACAGAAATGCCGTGGTATGGCCACAACGTCGCGGCATCTCTGGTTCCGAGAATTCTCCAACAGCTTGGTGCGGTTGGCCGAAAACTCTGCATTTGAGATCCGCGCGAAGGCGCTGACAAACCAACCTTGCTCCTCATTGGGTGCGTGATCTTGCGAGCGTCGTAATTGATGATCTGATCCTTGACACTTTTGTTGGCCAGAAATTTCCTCATGTTGTTCCACGAAGTGTCCTTCTGTCCCATGAGGAGGAGGACGCCTTCAAGAACATCTCTTATCCCTTCTGGTGGCATCTTCAACGATCGTATTTCGTTTATGTTGTCGGGCTTTATTTGACCCACAGCCTTCCTGGCTTGATCTATGAGTGGCTGCACGGCGGTGAGTTCCTCTTCAACTCCACCGCGCTTTTGGCTCAACTCCATCTGGCGAGGACGGCGGCAATCATTATTTTACTTTAGCACGACGATACATGATGTGACTGGGAGGCATTAACAGGAAGGCTGAGGTGAACATATGCAACAATGCCGACAAGTTCGCGGACAGATGTGACATGGCGCAGAAATATTTTCAGCTGCCTTCCGTTGGAGTGGCCTCGCGGAATGGAATGAAAAGGAGCAGTCGCGCACCACACCTCTTCCACAGCAAGTTTTTTCTGAATGTTTTCGACCTCTTGCTTCCGCTCTGCTGCCTGTTCCATAGAGGATGTGATCTTGTGCAGGGCGTCTTCAGCCTCGCACTGTTTTGCTACCAGCAATGATCTTCGTTCCTCAGCACCCTTAGACAAATCGTCCACCGTCTTTTCCGCCTCTGATAATTTCCCGAGGCCTCCCTGCAAGATTTGCTCAATTTTCGGTTGCATTCTCAGAAGAAATGAACACTGACATGCACAAGAGCTGGAAAGGAGAAATCCGAAGGCTGAGGTTCGTTCGAAAATATGCGGTGCCGGGCATTATTTCCCTTTCGACATGCAGCTGCCGATTTTGAGGGACGTTATGAGGAACTTTGCTGGCATGGATCCGATCGCAAAACTTTTGGCCATTGACTACTCAAACGAGAAGCGCTAGGGCGGTTGCAGCAAGAATGCGATTTCGTGAACCACGTTGTATTCAGGGCGCACGTTGACTACTTTGCAGAACATTATCTGACGATTCGCAGGACATTCATCCGGACAGCGAGACGCCATGAACGTTCACTTTTTCCACGACAATGAAATGAACTTCAAGATGCGTGTGCCGACATTTACAGTCTTATCAACATGGAGCTGAGTTTGTGCGATGTTTCAATGCCAATACCGCATTTATTGGAAGCAGAACAAGACTTTGCCATTCTGCTTAAATTCTTTGAGACAAATATGGCCCCAGGCATTGCTATTCGTCCACCCCTTTTATGCGATAAGCACCTCGAGGAATCTTTTCTGCTCTGTCAAATTCTCTTGCTTCGTCAAGAAGATGGCTTTGAAGAGGTTCACCAGGCTCACGAACTGCCTTGGTGTTGCTCCGCGGTCAGTCATGGTTTGGTGAACGTTCTTCAAGTCGTCGGCCGCATCGCCGCAGCCTCCATTGTTCTGCCGTTTCCAGCACAGATATGGGCACACCAAATCGAATTAGGAATTCCACATGCGCACTTTTGCGGTACCTCCAAGCGACATGTTGGCTGCCTCGCTCCTTGAAGCGCCGAGCAAATGCTCACAATTCTAGGAAGAAAGAGCATCCCCGAGAAGACAGCAACAAAAAATACTTGGCGTCAATTGATTAGCATGAAATGGCGATACTGTATCGCATATCTACGAGCCAATGGTGCGACTTCAAGACGGAAGCTGCGCCGACACGGTGCTAAAACGAGAAAATCGGCAATCGATGAACGTATTTATTCCTCCCATTTCGCTCTGCTCGCAAAATCTAGCATGCTGCTTCCAAGCCGTGCAGCAAAAGAATTTGATGCTAGCGACAAGCTCACGCTGTGTTGAAGAATTATCGCTCCGGCAGAGTGAATGAGACCGATCGCAATGATGGGTGCCGGCAATGACACATGAAAACTTGCGTGCGAATTCGATGCACGCGTGCCCACCTGGAGCAGAGCCTTGGCAAGGTGGACCATGCCATCAGGGCTCCAGTGCTCCAGGCACTGGATGAAACATCGAGACACTAGAGACGGGTTGCTCTCCAGGCGCCTGCAATAGCCCTCGCCGTTCGGATCCAGAGAAAGAACGACATGAAGGTTGCGCTTCACCCTGGAAGCAAAGAAGGAGAACACTTTCGTGTGGTGGAATCCCTCTTCCGCCATTTGGCCCTTCAGAGGTTCCAGCGCCTTTTCTAGCTCCTCATTGGTCATTAGGCCAGGCACCTGAAATCATGGGATGCACTGAGCACTAGTCTTCAGCATGGTTTGCAATCTGATGCGACAGAGAATTACTTACAGCACATCATATGCAGGCGACAAGACATTTGGTAGGAAGAAGCGATATGAAGGAAACAACAAGCAAGCGCATCAACAGGAGATATTGGCCCATTTCAAATCTAAATTAAAATTTAGTGAGCAATTCAATAGTGGAAATGATCGGCTTGCTGTATGTTTTGCTAAGCACCAAATAGAGATTTGTACGAGCTCACGGCGCAAACTCAAGTTGACAACTGACGTCCGCATATCCATATTTGCAGATTTATTCAATTGGATAATCTACAGCGCCTAGGCGTTCGAAGTGAGTTATGCCACATGCGGACAGCGTTAAACTTGCAAATGATTCGCCGTCTATCCAGCCTGTGCTGTTACTCAGCCACGCCCAACGAAATGTCCACTGCTTCTACTTCTGTCCAATTTGCCATCGGTAATGCAAGGCAACCACAGGTGGGCGGTGAATACGCATTTCAAAAAGAAAAAAAAACAGTCTGGAAGTTGCGTTGGCTTGCCTCCCCTCCACTGATGATGCTGTTGACACATTCCAGCATGGACGCATCAACGATCTGGTGGTCTTCCAGGACGAGGCACACAGGCTGGCCTTCGATGCCGGCCCGTATCAAAAGCTCCTTCAGATCCTCTCTAAAATTTCTTATCCCGTAACCTCTTGTCAATTGGGGAGAGAAAACCTCCATATGGTGCATGTACGCCACAAGTTTCACACAGGTGCGCCGGCCAACGCCATTCGGCCCAGTCAATAGCATTGATCCTCCGGGCAGAGAAAGGCAGCTGTCAAATCTGCTGATGCGCTCCACCACCTTGCCAAGAAAGACATGCCGGAAGTGGGGAACAATGCCACATACCCCGCCTAACATGCATGCTGGATATTTATAGGAAGACAAGGGACATATAGTAACGCCACATACCCCGCCTAACATGCATGTTGGATGTTTATAGGAAGACAAGGGAAATAGAGTAAGGCAGTTGCAACAGGTCCTGTGAGACCTGGGCGCTTTGTGTTACGAGCTTGGGCCGATACGAAGCTCTGAAATGGGAATTTCCACCAGACATCCAAGCACGCAAGCGCACAATACACTGAATTTAGAACTCAGACTTTGTGAGTAAAGAGCTCACCTCCCTAAACATCGCAGTGGGGTTTGAGATTTTAGGTGTCGCACGACGCATCGCCGTGGCGGAGCAAACGAGTGCTCCCTGAACTACAGAGCAAACCCAGCTACAATGGGCGAGCTTTTCAAACCCCAGCATCGCGTTCTTCGCCAGATCCATAATATATGCCCAACCACAGCGCAGCGTGCACAACGAATAGCAGCTACCATGAGCACTGCTGGTGCAACACGTCCTCCTTCCATGTGGCAGCATTCGATGCACCATGGAAATCAGCTTTCAGGCCCATTCAATGATCGAACTTTTAGGCTATGACAGCAGTTCAACGTGTTGCATATTTGTGTTGGCGGTATTGCCAATGCGCCGAGACTCACTTCCTCCAAGAGAATCATGTTTAAAGGGTTGTGCTCTCGTTCGTAGGACTTTATCTTTTCCTGAAACAGCTCATTGAGGTCACCAGAGGACCACCTCGACAACTGGGAACGTCTTTCAGAGGTCTGGAGTTGCGGCTGGGCGGAGAGCCCGAGGCTCGTCCAGAAAAACCCACCGGGATCGCCTGTGACAGCAACATAGTCACGCGCTTACCAATTCGCGTGATCGAGAAGCGACCCTCATACAGGTCAGCCTGCTGTTCGAATGCGTATTCATGGCTGCTGTTTGCAGCATGATCTGTCGGCAATTGACACAACTATGCTTGAGATGCATTGTGAACAGGGCGAGCGACTCACACAAGTAAACTTATCATTCGCGTTCTTCCTATCTACCTATTGAACGTCGCACCGTTGTGCAATGGCTTCCCGTTCCACCCGTTTGAACTATCGCCAACTCAGGGCAGTTTACAGCAAATAAGATTGGCAAAAGAGACACTACTGATCCAACAAATGTCCCTATTTGCATACGCACGTATCGCATTCCCACGGCCATCACATTGCCGCATCATAATCGCGCACGCTTGTGCCCAGTGGGCGGGAGTACAGCTTTCCCGCACCTGCGAAACCAAGAGCTTTCAAGGGCGGGAGTATGAGTCTGTCGAAGTCGGTCAGTGCCTCGCACCCAACCAACCGATCCCTGAATATGCGGCATCCCTCGTGATACACCACATCCAGTGGACCAGCTGATCCATGCAACCCATACCTCCTCAGTCCGTTTACCCACTGGGTAAGCATCCTTGGGGTAAACACGTAATGTCGGCACTCCTCTACGGAGAACCGCTTCAAGACGCCAAAGTATACGTCTATCATGAGGCTGCAAATTGCGGCGGAGGAGTGCAGACCCTGTTGCCACGAGGCGTCCTCGGCCGCGAGGTCCTGCAAGGGTCGGCGTAAACTGTTCGGTGGGTTGCATTGGAACAACGTTAAGTGCAGGCGGAAGAACGTTGATGTTTTGTCGTTGGAGTAGATATTATGGTGTCGATTTTCCCCAGAAGATTTCTCGTTAGTTTCCGCTGATTCCGCATAAGTCGCGTACCTTGAATGGAGATTTTACAGCAAGGGTGCTTATTCATTTCCAGTGGGAGGTGAGTGACCGATATCTTCCATCATGGGTTGGAGGAGGACGAAAATACCTAGGCGCAGTTTTTCCTGTACGTGATTGCTTACTGCAAAGTCAAACGAGGACCAAGCGCAATAAAGTGTACATTAACAATGCTGCAGGCCGGGTGCGGTTGCAGATGCACAGAAATTTTGGACCTGTCAGAGCTACTAGCGAGTGACAACGACCAAGCACATTCTGGGGGGGAGGATTGACAAGCTCTTCTCCATCGCAATGTCCTCGAGCACCACGATTCATCTTCTTGCGCGCAGGGCGTCAATAAATGTGACAAAAGGGTTTGCGAAATTCTCCAACATACAGACGGTCCTGCGCGGAGCATGGGATGTGCACAGGCAATGATACAAAGTCCCCTCATTCAACTACTGTTGAAGGTAGCCCATTCCCATCGTCACCATGGATTCCACAGGACAATTTGCATGTGTGCCAACCATTCCATTGTCGGCACATCATCCCCACAAACGAAGCCCGAGTCAAAGGTTGTGTGTCAACGTACCTTGAAGACACCCGACAGCATCTCCGAGTAGATCTGTTTGAGCTCTTGTCTGGTGGGATATGCCATGTAGCCAATTCTCATGATTGACGTCAGCCTCTTGGACACAGCGCTCCTCCCAAGACTGTTGGGATCCATCATAGAGGCCACGATCTGAATGGACTGAAGCGAAACGAATTCGAGGGATGTGTCGTAAAATCCTTTGTAGGTTATCAGCTGTTGCAGAAATGATATCAATTGGCTGGTTCCGTATCTGTCTGGCCTGGTAAAGAAGACGCAATAACAAAGAAATCGGATGTTTCTCGAGTCACATAGCTTCTAACCTGTTTTTAAAGATGGAAGACAGCATTAGATCTAATGCAGTCTTACTATTAATCGCTTTCAGCCTACTACTGCTAAAATTCGTTCTCTTGTATTTTTCATCAGAGTTGAGCAATGGAGAGATTTTGCTGGCAATTGAACTCCAACCAGGTGGATCTATTTTAAGGACATAGACGCCGAACTATGGAACCTTGGAAGGTCGATGTCTTTGATGTAGAATATTAGCCTCTCCGTCTCCTTCGGCTTCAGCACACGACCTCCCCTGCCGCTGACGGGAGCCCCGCAGGTCTGATACAATTTTTGAATGAGGTTTGTCGCGGTGGTCTGGGCGCTGCAATTGATGACGGCGACGGAAGTCGACACTAATTGGGAGAATGCCAATTCCAGCGTCTTCGACTTTCCGCATCCACTGGGGCCCACCTGGAATGTCATTTTCCACATCAGAAGCTCTTGTCAATCAGCAAGGCCATGTCGTTATCCGAAGCTGAGGCCCGAAAGATACCCAGGGCAGGCAGTGCAATTTTTGTGCACGTGCTCCCGCCCTGCAGCATGAATTGCCTAAACTCTCCGCTACTGCGAAAGTTAATCAACCGATCATGCTTGGTGCATACTTGGCCTGCTGCTGACAATGGAAGGCGACGTGATGTATCGCGTCGCCCCGCAAACCCAACTCCTTGGCAAGAAACGCCTTACCATGAGGAACGGTGTCCCAGTTTCCAACCAAGGCGTTACCATCGAAAGAGTGCGCAGCACGCCTTCAGTGAGGACGGCATCACAGTCGCCGGACGAGCTGCTGTCAGGGTCTCTCAGAGCAGGAGAGTTAATTTCGATGGATTGCGATGTCAATCTGTGCCACAAAAATATACTCAATTCGTATCGCAGTATTGTGAACGCCCTATAGTGGGCGTTGTGTTGCACTGCGATGTGTGCGCCATTGCCGCGATTAAAGCACTGTTTCCATTTGTGCATGGCTAAGCGTGCAAAAGCACGTTGGGGATGCATCTGTGTGCCGCGAGCGGCTGTCAGCCACTTCAGTCGGTCGTTCAATGGCAAAGGCACAGTTTTGTGAGCGACTGACCACCTCCGCAGTTTCTGCGACTTTACCATCTATACGCGCATCAACGTTTAATTGTTGTTGCAAACATAGCCGGAACAAAACCTGAGAAAACGCAGCGTGGCGTGTGGCCCTCACCGCGCCAAATGCTCCAGCAGCAGTTTTCGACGCTCTGCATCCGCGTTGGCTGCTAAGCCCTTTCCAAGACCGTTGGCGAAGTCCTGCTTAGTTTGAACTCCCTCAAGGTGGGAAAGCACATTCTCGACGACGCCCACTTGCGTTGCCTCGACGGCTTGGGGGTTGTCAAAGGCCCAATCCAGTGCTTTAAGCAGGCAGCCATGCATCCAGGCATCCAACCGCCTCCCTGGACAGCGCATCAGTCTGTGTTGTGCCATTCGCGACTAAGGGGGGCATCATGCTTTGTGCCCACTCAACGTTGGGAACAAATACGGTTTACATGTCGGTGTATATCGTGGATTCTAACTTCCCATACTTTAGTGTTCCTGTTCATCACATCAGTCCAAGGACGGTTCCCTCTCGCTGTGACAAGCGGCAAAATGACATGCCAACGACACACCCCTATCTGGCGTTTCAACTCGCTGCATGTACATGTGCATGACTGAAGATGTCTGTGGCCGCTAGGGGTGCTCACCAAAAGGGCTCAGAACATGGCAAGCATGAGGTGAGAAAACTTTCCTTCCAATCCAGGGAAAACATGCCGAATTCTCAATTCACCGAAATTTTTCATATTGACGCAGGAATGCCTCGTTGCCGGCAAAACGCCTGGTGCGTTCCGCGGTCACTGTGGCGGCAAGCAGATGGTCACCTGGTTTGGATTCGTCTTCTGCACCGCTACGCAGCCATTTTTCCACAAGAGCTGCCGGCCCCAGCGTGCCCTCAGAAAGGAAGATCATGCCGCAGCGGCTGACGGTGGCGGGCGACGCATATTCCAAAGTGTCGCATTCGAATATGAAGTTTACATTGTTCAAAAATTGAATTCTCTCCCCGCTCGGTAGAGTCAAGAGTCTGGCATAGGATGGACAGCATCCCAAGTCGGCATCATGAATTCAGAAGCAGAACAGAAATGCAACAGTCGGTTGTCCCGCATGAGCAATGCCTGTTGATGCGCGGCTCTGCACAAACTCCTCCGACTGCCGCATGGCTGAAACGGCAATACTTCGGTGAATCACAGTACTTCCAGGAGCGTCGCTTGCAAGACGGCCCGCGAGGTTCTGTTTGGTGCCAATGCGAAACTGAAACTGCTGGACCAACTCACCGTCGCTGCTCGAGAACCGCGCGGTCACCTCCCGTGAGATTTGAAACAGCATTGCTTCATGAATGAGTAAGTACTGCTAAGTGAAAGTGTATGTCTCTGCAGCCGCAAGCCACGCTGCAGCCGCAAAACCAAAATTTTGTTTTTGTGTTTACCTTTCCTATCAAAAAACTTCGATATCAGTGCCACAACGCACGGATCCAGGAGATGGGAATTTAAAACTGATTTTTTCATTTGATTGCCGCACCTGTTGTCGTCTAGAACACTGTTTAGGGATTCGATCCATTCTGGGTCTACGTCCCCATCGCAGATTATCCAAGATTTTTGCTCCGGATGTTCTTTCACCACCTGCAAAGTGGCGGCAATTTTGCTGATAGAAATTCAGAGCACGCAGCCGGGATACTCAATCCGCTGGCAGAATGTGCTGAAAAGAAATAATCTCGGTTCACAACTTCAAAATGCATTCTACACTCCTTTCCTACCAGCGTAAATTGAAGAATACTGTACTATTTGATCTGCATCCACTGCTGGCCGTGGTTGCTTAACCAACCATAGCCAGTGGTGGAGTTATAGCAAATCGGCTATTCTTGAGCGATTCGCATAATATACCACCTCCACTTATGCTGTGGGGGTGGCTTTCTGTGCTGATCATCATGAGGTCAGTGTAGGTAGATGCTGTCTGACTATTTGAGTTCAGCAGAGACATGTGACATGACCGATGAGTCGATTATTCACGTTGCCTGTAAGCATGTTCATTCATTCACTCACGACCTCCACTTTACCAGCCAGAAATGGACAATTTTTCGGAATGCCCGACGGCTAGGAACACAAAGGCAGTGTGAACCGTGTCACCCTCGCAAAGCTTCAGCCGTGTCCGAGAAAACTAAAGTGCGGCGGTACAGAGCGTTGCCCAGCGCTGTGGCATCTGGCTGGCATCGGAAATCACGACAGGCTTCCAGCGAGGAGGTATGCACAAACGCCTCGAGCGAGCAGCGCTGCTGCTTATGTGCCCACGATCGTCATGCAAAACCAAAGTAAATGTTGCTCATTGAATTGCGGATGCAATCAAGCAGGCTGTTGAGAGCACTGGAAGGTGTCCCACCTGCCTAGCGGCCACAGTTATGACGCCATCCGTCCAGTCTCTTGTGTCCATGTCCAGGTGACCCAACAGGAGTTGCTTGGACATTGACTTGGGATTAACAACGTACTTATGGATCGGCCTGCAGAAGGCATTTCATTGCTTTAAATGGCTGAGCCCAGTCAAATCGCCGCCAGATTGCAAATATATCACCGCTGATGAAAATTCCTTTCAAGAAGGGCCTTCTTGAATACACCAGGCCAACCACCAGGAAATCACACAATTACAAAAATAGCACACTTTGATCATAAACCCGTGGCCGAGGTGCCGATGATGTACCGATGAAAATCGTTTAACAAACCACACCATTTCATATTTCAAGGCTTCCTTGCGCGCTGGATACCACATTCTTCTTTTGTACTTCCCTGATGGCACATCAGGTATCTGCAGGCTTCCGTGGTTTGCTTTCTCGCCCGCAATCGATGCTTCGAACAGGCTGCAACTAGCAGCACCATGTGAGTCTACCTCCACGCTAATGTTTTGCATGGGCCCCAAAACACCGCTCCGTGATGCTTTTCCGAATCCACCGGGTCAGATTAATTGCGTGTTGCATCGCATCGCCACAGCTCAACGTAATGACTCGCACTCAAGCAGGCATCCAGACATCATTTCACAGTGGTTCAGTCCTCCCGTGCCGTTTCAGGGGCAAGAGTTTTATTGCCAGCATGATCGTCAATCTCACCTCCCAAGTCTCTTGTAAGCAGACTCTAGGAGGAGCCAAAGCGTCGACTTTCCGGTTCCCGAAGGTCCGACGATGATGACGCCTATGCGCTGCTCGGTGGCGGTGTGAAGCTGTAGGACCTTCTCGAGCTGAGCGCAAAGGACCAGTCAGGCGGAAGCGCGGCTTGAGTTTTCTTTCAGAACACAGTTGGGGAGCGTTGGGGGTAGAAACAATGATGGCCACGACGATGGAAATTCGTGTCGCGACATACAACACACCACGGCTGCTTTGAGTTGATATAGAACATAATAAAGCGGCAGGCAAATAACAACTAAAAGTTGCTATACAAGGTTCCCGCAACTTTCCGCTGTATGCCAAATCGCGGTTGGAAATCGCTGCAAGCAATGGCTAAGCATCTGCTGAACAAACGCATTCTGGAGCACAGTCCAAAGCAAAGCTTCGCACATGTTTCTACTCTCTGTGTTTTGAACATCATGACATTCACCCAGAAAGTTTCCAAGCCATAGGATTTCATGTTTGGACCAAATCCACATGGTACTCTACTTGCTGTGGGCATAGCAATGTTCAAAATAATGGCACTCACTTGCTCGGGAGTAATATCCATATTCCAGTCCGATGCCAATTCCAAAATGGCGTTCTTCAACTCTTCCTGGACGATGTCCGAGACTTCGTGCTGTGGAAAGACATCCCTCACGAGGTCGTTGAAAATGCGGATGTCCTCCAGGGTCAGAGACGGCAGCTTCGTTGCTCGAAGGGACCGAATGGCGAACTCCATCTCCATCTCGGGAGAAACCATACAATCCTTGGACGCCTCTTTCGCCTGAGATTGGCCGGTGGCACAGTGGGTTGCATCGATCCGTTGGCAGTGAAATGCTGTGATCAATTTTTGCAGCGGCGACATTGTGGGATGATAATTACTATGTTGCGACGACAGAACTGCAAATTTTGCAGCTGTGATAGCCTCCAGCTCCAAATTAAGTAAAGCTGCATTACTGGAGCTATTCTTAGGAACAAAAATTCCATCAATTGTCGTACGGTGGAGGAAAAGATCGCAGTGAAGTGCCGATGCGTCTTGCTAAACTCGTTTCTCAAGTAACGACATTCGCGACGCCCAAACCCTGCTGCCCTTGCATTGGGCTTTTATCATGGTGTCTATACTCCAGAATGACCACACGATCCAGTTCCTTCCACGCAAATGTTCGTTGCTCTTTCGCGAGGATGCGAGGATCGATATCATTGACTTTCTAACTTTTTGTACCGCCACGCTGCCGCAATTCACCTGTTGATCGCCCACCTCTAGGGCACGCGAAAATTTTGATACTGATCTCACGGTGGCTAAACAACACGAAGACCCACACAAAACAGACTCATTGAACATGGCAACTGTATGCTTCCCATTTGCTGGAAATGTGCTGTGCCTTCAAAACCTGAGGTTCCGGAGCCGCTGTTACCACTGATGGCAATTCTGTTCAAAAGAGCAACAATAGGGCTGCCAGACATTCCAGACACACCCACCTCCCGCAAGAGCTTTCCTGCCATGAGAAGGGTGACTTTAAGCGCCCTGAGGCCCCAGTCGTAGTGCTGCTGCGTCGACAGTAGGTGCTCGCAAAGATTGAAGAGGGATACCATGCCCTGCCCCAGCTGCCTGGAGCACTTGAACCCTTCGGACATTAACAGCACCTCTGCGATGAGGCCGTTGTCTGGAACAGTCATAGCCACCGACCTGAGGAGAAAAAGACAGTCTTTGAAGCCCTGCATTAGGAATTTCGATAATGGTCTGGCATTCGGATGAGGTGGTTTGATGGTGCGGATGTTGACCGACCTGAAGAGCTGTTTCAGGTTGTCTGGGAGCTTGGAGCGCCCACTGTATCCCTTGCCCGCAGGGTTCAAGGTCACAAATATCCCAACATTGCGGTCAACGACCAGTGTCTTCCCCAGAAATTCAAATTCGTGGCGAGATTCCTTCAAGGCTGTCTGTTGACAGATATACACACATTAATGCCGGCGGAAGCCCCGTGCATGGGGTCAGGAAAGCCAGCAATGGATTGTAGTTTCTGGGGCTAATGCTGAAGGGTCAGCGTGAATACTGACGTTGCGAAGAATATGAATGCCTGGAAATCGAACACTGCGAGCCAAGGTCTGGTGCTTACCATGGCCTTTGTATATGTGGAATGTATGGATGCTCTTTTGGGCGTTCTTGGCGTTGAACTAAATATCTGCGGCGACCGGGGTGCAAGACTGTACTCATGCATGTTCATGTGGAACCACACACGGTAAACATGCAAAGATCACTGAAATTTCCTGGAGAGTCAAGGTGGAAATCAGGGGTGGACCAAGGCAGTGCTGGTGGCGGTTCCCTTTGGAGTGGCCATAGCGAGAAAGGATAGGATCCCACCTGAATGGATTGAATCTGTTGGCTCACAGCTGACAATACCTCTTCCTCCAATCTATTGAATTCGTCGAAACATCCCCAGGCGCCGCATTTCACCAGGCCAACGAATATCCGACCCATGCTCTTGAAGTCGAATTCTTCTCCACAGTTAAAGACCAGAACCTGTTGTACAGCAGCTTCTCACAGTGAAAACTTAGGTGCACTTTGTGGAGCCTTTTACTATACCGATTTTGCCGACGACCAGCCTGAATGGACGGGGTATGACATAGTACGATCCTGCCAAGCAATCCCATATCACTTTATGGTGGAGATGGAGATGCCATACAAATGTTAAACACAGAGAAAAACGAAAATGAGCGCCCGTGCGCGAATGTCTTGCAAGGCATGTGGGCTGAAAACAGAGAGCCACACCTGCCGGCCAAAGGCCTGTCCCAAGGCCTTAACAGATTCTGTCTTCCCTGTGCCAGCGGGACCGTAGGGATTGCCTCCGTATCCTAGGGCTAGCCCCTGAGTCAACGTGAGATAGCATTTGTCCGTGAGGGCAGTGTACACCAGCTTGGGAGCATTCCCTTGATACTCCCAGGAATAAGTGAAATCACCATCTGCCATGTTGATATCAACAGCGGTCCCCTGCTAGGGGAAGCAGAGACGGCTGTTAGACAAACATGCTGTGAATGTTCCAGTTTGCAGAAAGCTTTAAACTATATGGGGCATGAGGCGCATGCGTGAGCCATTGACGCCTTCTGCATGACAACAGTCTCTTGTTGAAGGACTTCTCTCGTGAATAGACTCAGCATTTCGCTGCCACCATGGAGGAATTTGGAATGACGTCCGTGAAATCGTACAAGGGGTGTAGACGGTGCCATGAAAGGATCCACTTTGCGATTGTTTGAAGGTAGGCAATGGCTCTTTTGACAGGCAGAGGGCGCAGCACCAGTGCACCAAACTAACATTCTTCTTCAGCACAGTCCACAGCTTGCCAGATTCCGCTTCAACATAGAGTAAAGTCACGCATCGCAATGCTGACTCATCATGTTGTATGCAGGCCCCTCATCTCCTGTGTTCACAGGTAACAACGGGCGACAAGCGCCGTTCCATGCATTGCTTATCAGTCCAACTTTCTTGATATATTTGCAACAGGCAAATTGCGATGTTATAGCAGTGCGTCAATGTGGATCGAAATCGCATGGAAAGGGGAGTTCTTTCCTGTGGTTACATGTGATTGGCTGTTCCCATCAGATCACCTGTCGGCGATACTTCAACTGCTTCGCCCACGCCCAATCCTCCAAGTCGGATGTGCCCTCTTGCGTCAACGCATCCGCGACTTCCAGGTAGTGAATGAGGTCCAGAACTAAGGACTGAACCTTCAGCTGCATAATTCGATATCCGGTCCAGTCAGAGGCCGTGTACTCCTCTAGCTGGCTTCTCAGCTGCTTGGAAAATTGTGCCACAGTACCAGACCTAATGGCCTTCTCCATTCCCTCGCTGAAACGAATTCCCTCTGCCAGGCACAGCACCTGGCTTGGGTTGGCTTTGAAATCGCTGCTTTCCATTTCTGTGGCAAGAGAAGTTGCGAGAGTGGCATGCACAGCACGAAGGAGTTCTCCCAGCCAGTTCTCCACATTGCTGTCCAGCAACACGGGGCGGATCAATTCAACACGTTCACCGTCTGCTGATAAAATCGCCTCTATTTGGGATCCTCCTTTCTCGAATTGAACCTGGCACAGGTTGAGGCACCACAGGTTGAAGCATGTTAGTGTGCGTCCTTTTTGGCATGTGGACTTGTCTTGTATGGAACAGCTCGGCTACACAATGTCACTACAGGCCTCTTTCGGCCTCCTCCAAGTTAATTGTGGGCGGGACGCAAACACCAACCTTCAGCGCCTGCATCAAGCTCACCTGAGAAATGAACGCGGGGCACGGAAGCGCTGCGAGGTATGCACTGAATACACCGCATGAATTCATGCTTCGGAGTTCAAGCGACGACTTGAAAAGCAGATTGCTGAGCCAATAGAATGAAATCCACACCAAGTCTGTATTCACCACTCCCTCCCATGCGACTTTACCATTCTTTAAGATGTTTAGGTCGATCGAGTACCGCCCTGGCTGGGTTCCGAAAGGGCACAGTAATTTTCTGTGAGTACTATTGCCCTGACTTCAAGTCTGTTGAAGGAGGTGGCAGTACACCTGCATCGGCCCTTGAGAACAAGGTGCCGTTGTGTACGTGCTCCAAGCTCCACTGAATCACTGAAGCTCAATGCTGTGCATACTCACGTTATGAATTCCAGCAAATATTTTCTTCAAATGGGACTGTATGATGGCCGGGTTCTTCGGCTGCCCCAGGATCTCCAGAAGGTCGCCGTCTCCAATGAAATAGAGCCTCGCAAATGCAGATCGCTTTTCCTCCAGGAAGTCCGACAGAGCTCTTTGACATATGTCCAGCTGGGAGGACAGCTGGGGTAAGTTATCTCGCATGCGGGCGAGATCTGCAAATCTTGCAACCAGCGGTTCCACCTGTTGAACCGTTCATGCCACCAATCATCGTCTGACAAATTGAAAACCCTCCTTGCATCACATTCCCTTCCATGGCGCAGCACGGAGGTCTTGCGCATTGTGCAGTGATGGCAGGTGAATGCACATCCAAGGCAACTAATCATGCATCCAACAAATGGGAGATGCGAAGGAGGTCAACGCAGACAACACTGGAAAGCATTGTGTAAATAATTTTGGATGAGGTCGCTCCACACAGACTGGGCACTTTCTTGGTGGTCGCTTTTTTTACCATTTATGAGTCCAACATATGTGGGCGTGGATGTGGAGTGTGTGTGGGGAGAGTATCCTCTATCGCTGCATAACATAACATTGTCTCTTATTTGCGAAAAATCTCCAAAAATCCTGCATCAGCTTGCTGCGTCCAACCTCTATGTGGCTCATGATCTTCCTGAATTGGCTGTCGACATTCGCGAACCTTGACTGGTGCTGCGGCAAGGCCCCCTTCTCAAAGACGGGGTGCAGATACACCCATTTCCGTTGAATATTGTTCAAGTGTCCTAGAGATTCCAAGAGATTGGTGAGGCGTCTCTCCCAAACCTCGATTTCATCCTGGGGAGATGCGATGAAATTTGAAGATCAGGTATGCGAGAAGTGTCATTCTTCGTGCACATTGCTCCTGGCTGTTGCTCCTTCACATCTTGCTGAAACACTTTTCTGCGGTGGCAGCCATCATCTGGACCCAAGGTAATGGAACACTGCCGTTTGTGACTAAAATGCAATTCCAATGGGCAGTGGTACTCTGAGTGCATAGCAACATGTTGGGGTGCAGGTTTCTGTGGATGCGGGCAATTTGATGCGGCCAAATCTTTCGATTGCATTGTCAAAATTTGACAAAGCACTGCTCTCACACCCAGGAGGCGACTTTGGACACTAGTCTGCACACAGGATGCGAATAAGATGCAACAGACAATGCACTGGAAATATGTTAGGAGTAGATGATGTTGGTAGCTGACCTTGAGGACGCTGAAGTATGGAGATGCCCTCAGGCTTGACACGAGGCTTTGATGATCGCCAACTTCTGTCACGAGATCTTTCCATTCTTTAATGAGGACCAGATTCCTCTCTTTCTTTTCTGTGCTGTGCTTCATGAGGCTGAATTTCCTCTGGTATCCCCAAGTGTTGAGCTCATCGAGAGCCTTGTGGAGCACGGCTTCTCCTTGTGCCTGCGACAAAGTTGAACCACTTCCTGTTCTATCTACAAGTTGAGATTTCATTTGCTATCTCCATTTTCTGTCATGGGTGTAAGTGTAATTTCACCCAAATGCAGCAAAAGCCTAAAAAGAACAGTGCCAACAAAAACGTATCTATACATTCGTCTGAAACTTAGACTAATGCACAAGTCGCGTGTCAAAGCTCTCAACAACCAAACCATGCCTGACCTCTCCACTACAGAAGTCCCCCCCAAATGCAACTGAATGTCGGGTGGGCATCTCATTGGAACAAGGGAATGCTCGCTACTATCATCAAGGGCACACTAGATGCGAAACTATGTCATGATTGCGACGCCTCACAAGTAGAGGCATCGTATCAAGGTATGAGGTCATTGACAATGGGAACTCTCGACCAAGCTACCTCACGAACAGATAAGCTCCTGATCAGACCTGAGAGTCAAGCTCCTGGATTCTCTCCGATTTTTGTATCAAGGCATCCGCTTTGTTCAAAAAAATTGACAGAGTCAGGTTTTCAAGGCACACAGCACTGGGGCCACTCGTTTGAATCCCCAGCATTCCAAACAGCAACAGCCAGTGCTTTCTGTCCCATCCATTTCCCTTGACGTGTTTGAGGTACGGCAGACACCTGCCGTACTTGTCTACTTCTCTCATCACAATAAGTGACACTGGATCATCCATTGAATTTTCCATCTGCCTCGACCACTTCATCAGAAAATCATCTATCTTCCACATCTGCAGCCATCACAGATAGGAAAATTCGTTGTTTTTAAAAGTGTGTTGAGGCGTGGATGGTGATTATTGTGAGCTGGCTACATGTAATCACTGAAACTCTGCACGCCATTTTCTGAGCCAAAACTGTCACATGGGTTTGCATTGCATGTTGTTGTAGAATGCACTGTCCCATTTCCAGTGCAGGATCTGCCTTATACACAGCCATTTTTAACTGCAATTAGATTTGAAATGCTTATATGAAGGGTCAGCAAAGGCTTCAAGCACTGTATGCAGCAATATGAGCACCGGCAATGTTCTCTGCTTCATCATGTTCCCACAACAGATCATCAGATGAGAAGCCCTGTGACACACCAACGCCGCCACCTCCATGACCCTGTCGGCCACTATATTTGCGTTACCTTATCCCTCAAGGACAGCCAATCCTGAGAGGCAAGTTCGTCCCTCTCCTCGAGAAATGATCCGTATCTGCTCCATGCTTCTTTGGCACTCTCGATTCCGTTAGAGACGTTCTCCAAAGTTGAGAAGTCTGGCGGGTCCATGCTGAAATGCTGGCAGTCCTACGGACGAACAAGAGCACATTAGATAAGCTCGGATGACAATCAACTCAATGCACAGTGACGTACTTGCAGGGATGCACAAGTGACCAACTAAGCATCAAATGTTGGAAAGCATGGCTCTCAGGTATGTTATGAAAATATGGCACCCACACGCTGACCACTGCATTGTGAACATTGTAATCTTGACGTGTGAGGCGCTCCATGTAGTTGGATGCCAGGATCTTGTCCACAATGTTACATTCAGGTGTCGTGTACTGCAGCACTTTCAGTACCAATTAAAGATAGGCACTTAACAACTAGCATGCAAGGCGGCACCAAGGGGGCCAATTTTGATGCTCTTGTATTAGAAGATCCTCTGGTATCCTAGTGTGAAATGGAAAATTGTGTTGGTCAGTGTCCCACCCCACACAACCAAACGTTCAATATTGTCCTTTCAGCAGCATCAGAACATTGTGTGCACCGCAATAAGCAAATGCAAGAATATGAGACAATGATGCATTCCATCCCATAGGATGGCAGAATGGAAGAAGGGAATTTAGGATATGTCTGATGCTGCTCTTGTGTGCGCCCATCCGGTATGTGCAATGACGTCCCCAGGCATTGGGAGCTTCCAACCAAAGATGTTACCACAATGCAAATGCCAAACATGTGGATTTGGTCAGACCCTGCCAGTTCTCCTTTTCACAAGCCCCATTTTGCCAAAACCGATATTCACCACTGTGCATATCTCCCACACATTCTCCCACGATGTAGGCTACTACTTCCTCTGTCCAGAATTAAATGAACGTGTTTCATTGAGAGGCCGCACTTGTGTCAGTCCTTGTCCTTTTTTTTTTAAAAATCAGAGTGCAGCACCACCTACGGGTTCTGTACATGATCTCAAATTTTTGTAGAGAACGCATTACTACGGCAAATTGGGCACGGTATCAATAATGCCCAATTCCCAGACCATAATTGACCGCATTGGTACGCTGGCCTGGCCGGGAGTGGCGTTCCTTGTCCAACGCCCCGCTCTCGAATGGAGACTTTCTCGTGGAGTCCGCAGCACCGTGAAGGTAGAGTTGACCAAGCTCAGCTTAAGCTCTAGCTCAACGATCGACACCCATCGCTGTGGAGCGCCGACAGAAACGGCCCCGGTATTTGTTCGTCACCATCGCCGATTTCTGGGATTGCGACCCATCTTGTGCAACGACACACTGGCATGCGTAGGATCCATCCTTCCTAATACGTTCTCAGGTATCCTGAGGCCCGCCCTGCTGTTGCTGCGTGCACTAAAGACTATCTATTCCGTCGTGGCTTACAAGCAATGGCATGCCCGGAGCAAAGCCATGCCTCTTAAAAGCAATCGAATTCCCCCCAATCTTTTGGCGGTGAAACACTTCGATGGAGGTCCCTAGTGTCTACCCAGATAGCCTTTCAGCATCCTGCGTGGTTGGCTGAAGTTTTGGACGTTGGCGTCTTTCAAAGCGTCGTGAACAGCCCTAACAGGCGGTCGCGGAGGGGGTGCCCGGCACGTCCATTTCTGGCGATCTTTCTGCTCCTGTGCTGGAGGCTGAGAACGCCTTCCTCCCAAAATTTGCACGGTGGATTTACCAGCCTCGCGCACCCCGTGAGTGCTGGCGGAGTCTTCTGAAAGGAGCCTCGACCGTGAACTTGGCCGATTTTCCGGATTTCCGATCTCCATATGGGCATCTAGCAGGACGGGGAAATCCACGGTGGGGATCGACGATCGGGTGGTTTTAAAGCCGGTTGCACCGCCTCGCCTCGTCTTAGGGACGGCTCCAACCTGCTGTTTCAACTGTGGCTGCGAATATCCATTTCTTGGTGCGCAACGTCAAGCGCAAGGCCACCTTCTCCGGGAGTCGGTTTTGGGGGTCGCTAGCCCCGACCTTCACATTCTCCAACCGTTCCGCCCCAATCTTGCGGATTCAGAGTACTGTCACTTGCGCAGTACTTTAATATTTTGGCTTGAAATTTTGGCCAGAGCATCGTATGTGAGTTTATCAGATGCTCCCAAATTTTGTTAAAGTATAGATAAGTGCGGGATGCAAATTTGGCCTGTCAAACAAACACGTTCATTGAATTCCGGGTGAAGGAAGTAGTTTTTGGTGTTTTGGCACAACTAACTGCAGGGTACTGCTTCAGTGCCATCGTTGTGTACGGCACAAGGATACATTCTACAAGTAGAAAAGCAGCAGAAAAAGTAGCTAAACACCCCTGACAATGGGCATGAAGGACATGTGTAGAAACCTACTGGATTTTGCAGTGGAGAGGTGTGGTCCTAATAAGCTTACCGCCTCATATTGGCTTGCCTCTTCCTTGAACTCAGCTAACGTTTGTGCAACTTCTTCGATCCTCACAAGTATCAGTTTTGGATCCCCTCGGTGCGTGCTCTTTGGCATGAGCTCTCTCCACCTATAAGAAAATCCTTCCAAACGCTCCTTGAACTCGTCGATCTGAAATCCCATCACAAAAGGAAATGAAATGTCAGTGGTTACCAAGTTTCAACAGGATAAGGCTACCTGATGTTTCTGACACCAAATGCAGAGTTCGTTGCCAATGGCATCAGCCTAATACCACAGAATTGCCAGAATTTGCTCCCCAACTGACATGCATGGCAACGGACAATGGGAACTCTTCACAAGCCATCCCTCCAATTAAACATGCATGCAAGAACACTTGCAGTGCATTTACACACATTCTGTCTCAACAGAGTGCAGTCCATGTGACCTGTTTTAATATTTGCCGTCGCAGCTGGTCCTGGCGCTCTTCGAGTGTTTCCCCATGCTGCTGAAGCTGGGCCGTGAAGGTGTCCCATTCATTTGATATGTCTCTCATGTCTACCAGTCCCCCATAGCCATAGTTCCCACTCATGGCCACTTGCTTCACCAGCTTGTTCTTCTCCTCGATCCGGCGCCGCAATTCCAACATGCGAGGAAGGCCATGCACCAGGTCACGGGATCTTTGGCGCGCCTCCCCAATCTCTTTTACATTAGCTGCCTGGAATTCCAAAATATCCCTCCCTGCCTTCACAAACTCCATTACCTCTTGAGATTCCTCCACTGCCTGCCAGACAAACCATATCATCAACAGAGTGAACAACAAGGTCTGTTGCGGTGGGCGATGTCCAAAATTTGGGTGTGTATGTCTAGTCTGAATGGCACAGGCAAGTTTATGGTTATTGCGCATGAATACATATTTTTCACATTTTGCACCTATTTGCAACAATAAAATGAATGTGGTGCTGGTTGTTGTTCACCGGGGAGTGAACAGGCAAGTTTTCAGTGACGTTGAGATGAATGGGTGCATTAGTGCATTGCAAATATGGTCGTCTGTCCATTAGACATGTCTTCAAGCGAAAAAGGTGCTGATAGATCAAAAGACAAGTCCATTTACAAAAATGCCTGCAGGAAATGTAATCAATCAAGGCATTTTAGACATGCTCTTTGATTTGTTGTTTCCTTATAGTGGGGGTGCTCCGATAAAAGCATAACCATACGTTCCACAGCATATCTAGACTCTGATGCCTGTCACACTGCTGATGTTAATGCATTTTACTTAGCCAACGTTGCGAATTTCTAAACTGGCACTGACATTCAAGACAGTCAGTCAATTCAGCCAAGACTTTGCTCTTCTGGGTGTGCTTTAGATAGAAGACAACGCACTACCCTCCTTTAGAAAACATGCCCCTTCAATGCTGAAATCTTTCGCAGTACTGTCTGAGCACTTAAAATGATGCAGAGGTTGCATTTTCACATTCAGACATTAAATCTATTGCCTCCTTTCCAAAAGCCTGGCCTTTTTGTCGTTTTCTGGCAGCAGTTCTGCAAGATGAACTCAATGTGTCATTCTCACGTCAGAACCCGATTCCATGTTTTGAGGTTTTGGTAGATGTGGTTCCCTATACAATTCAGTTTGAATTCCATGATGTGACATCGCTTCCCATCTCCATTTCAAATGAATTCGATGGTGCCCCAACGCGTCCCGAGAGGTGCTGCCCCTTGATGCCGGCTAGCCCAAGGCTGCTCTGCCTCATCCCCGGCCCCCTCCTTCTACGCCCGCACTGCGCAGCCTGTGTTGGCATGCCTTGCGTGCCTTACGGGCCGTCGCCCAACCGGGGCGCCGCCCAATGTTCCGCTTCGCGAGCAACCGACGACCAGTGAGCATGCACGAACGCTAACGCCATTTCACACCTCGCGACCGGCCTGCTTCTGGTCCGCGGCCGGTCAACACCCAGCGTTCGTCCTATACCCTTCGCGGTCGATGCTGCCACAGGCAGCGATGTGCTCGTTCGCCTTCAATCACAACTTTTCGAGCCGTTCTTGCCGACATCCCGAGCTCCGCTGCGATTTGGTTCCCTCGCACTGCGTTGGGATTAGGCCGGAGCTTCCGCGCACACCGAACCGAAACGTTACCGTTCAAGAAAACCGTAATCAAGACGCACCCATGCACCCAAAGTAGAACTGCCCAATTCGCCAACGTCGAGGCGCAAAACGAGCTCTCCGTTGCATCCCTGGGCGGTTCTTCGTTGCGGGCCGTCTTCGCATATCTCTCGAACGGTGACGCCGTTCGAGGCGCCCGTGGTCTCAACAAACAACCCACAACACAAGTTGCTGTTGTTTCGGTCAATTTGGTGACTCGCTCCTTTTGACCTTCGGAAAGTTCACTCATAACGTAGCTGTATGAGTGAACCAACTTGAACATGAACCATCAAAGGCATTCCAAAATTGGCCGGCGTGTGTGTATACCATGCACACATTGCACTAATAAAAGGATGGGTCATACATAGTGTCAAGCCGATGCACACCTAGCAATTGCACAATCATGTGCAAGCAAGTCTTGGATGCAGAAGTACCACAATCAAATCGGTTTAGCAATGCAGTGCACGAATGTTCCAAGTCGTGCGCTTGTCAATCAGGTATGATGCAATTCTGGAATTTTGGGCTGCACAGAGGTCTCTTCCCACCTTTCTGCGCAGGCTGGAGACCAGAGATTCTTGAAGCCGTCTCATTTGATCATCCACGGCAGATTTCATTGGAACCATTGATATCTTGTAGCAGCCCAATCTGATTTCTTGAGGGATTTTCTCTGCGTCTTTCGCCGCTGCTTTTAGCATTTTGAAATTCAAATTCCAATCTGATACTTCCTCAAGGTTCTCGTCCAGAAATTCGTCGAGGTCTACAGTTCCAAGAGCGACCCAATCCTGTGCACATCCATGTCCTTTTCTGTGTTTCTATGTGTTTTCGTAGAAAATGACAAATGCACTTGACAGACCCGATCATCATAATTAACAAAATGGCCAAGGGAATGAAATGCTGATGTTGTGGCGAGCTCATTGAAGCAATTTTAACATCACCGCTATACAGTTCAAGGGACCTAAAACAACTTATTTTGTATGTGGAACAAACCTGGTATTTCTTCAACTCGTCCAACAATTTGGTGAACAGAGACTCAGCGTCGCCATACACGGCGGCGATGGTTTCTGAATTGCTGTCAATGACATGGCGGAAGAAGCCGGGTCTCTGGCTGAGGTCCGATACCCCTTTCAGAGTCAAGGGCACATTAAGGAAGGGATTCAGAAAGTCTTTGTAGTGCTTCGCGCGGAGCTCTTCCAACGGAGGCTCGTACTGAACGCGTCTTTGCTTGAACACCATCTTGATCTCCACCTGCATTGGTGCAACGACGTCATAAGGTAATTTGACCTTTCGAACAAACACCAAGGAATGTTGACAGAATTTTACAACGGCCCTTGAGAATTGCCACATTCCATGCTGCAATATTCTGTTTCTACAACAGAAATGATTTTTGGATCATCCAGGAACACACATCCAAATTGCGTGTGTTCGTGTTGGCAGAGATTCCAGCACATTTGCAACTTTGGAGTGCAAAGTTGCTTTACATAGTACCCGCGAATTCAACTGGAGCACCTTCCAGTGAGCACCCTCGGCCAGAGCTGAGCTTACCTCAGGTAAGTCTTCATTTATGTGGGGAAGGCCCTTGGCGTATTGGGCCTGAAGGGCCTTGTGGAGCTGAAAATCCCAGTGCTGACGCCAGACTCGTTGGGAATCTGCGCTCAATCCCTCCATTTCCAGTCGGCGGAAGATGCCGCAAATGTCAGAGATCCCTGAAATCCACTTGTCCTTGTGCCTCACAATGTCTAGTTTCATCAGGCGAATGATTCTCCCCCGAATAAATCTGTGGTGTTCCCTGAGGCTCCTGAAAGCCACGGAGGCGACTTGAATGCCGCAATGGCGACAGAAATAATGTTCTTTTAATAGGTTTTATCAGGGGAGCGCCTAAAAAAGCGTTCCATCATGAAAGCTCCCTGATGCAATCGACTTTAGTTATAGATGTAGGAATTCTCCTGGAGATTGATTTAAGTCCCTTCACTATAAACTAAATATATGTGATCCTTAGAATTGCATCGCTTCCCTGTCCTTGAGATATTTTAGACGTACTGGTTATAATTGTTGAGCACTTTTAATCTACGCAATGGCAGCGAGAGCGCCAGCGTGTGTTGCGTGGGTGGGTGTAATGATCGGGAAGGGAAGGCGAGAAGAAAACCTTTGCGCGTGTGTCCAAATATGATGCATCTCGATTGCAAAAATCAATGCGACTGTAAAAGCCGCCCGAGGTCCCAACGCACGGAATGGCTCTTAAGTTCAACGAAAACGGAAGATATTCTGTACAAGGACTTTTGCCCGTTTTAGCGACAGTTTGGTGCATAAGTGCCACATTTCGCAATGAGACTATTTGGGCGTCCCTGGTAGGGCTCAGTGCCGAACAAACCTGTTCTTTTCTGTCAGCTTGTGGGTGACTTCTTCAAGTTGTATTGCATAGTCTTCGAGGGCGCCAATGTTGTGCCACGTTATCTCCTTCCCAGCCCGGTCCCTGGGATTGGAAATCGCCTTCTCGAAGTTGGTGGCATCTTTGAGCATCATTGGCTTCTGGCAGGGAATCATCTGCGTACCTATGTCATTGTAAAAATTCGCGACTTGCTTGAGGACAAGACCATAGCGAGACACCTTCCTGGCCTTTTCTACTTCGGACAGTATGCGCCCTTCGATGTTGAATCCCAGAGATTGAATGTGGCGCACCTGTGTGGCCCCAAGTAGAGGAATCAGACGAAAACCTTTCAGTTACAAGATTCATCAATGGGGCCTACAGAAGCATGGCAAGCAAGATGGACAAACGATTTCCATTGTCATTCAACCAAAAGACAAAATTGTGAGATGATTCACAAAAAAACAGATATGCCATGGTAGGGTCCACGTCACAAACCACAGAGGAGTACGATATCCTGCATATTGACGCATAAATTTTCACCTCCTTCATCAGACTGACGAGCTGGTCGCTGAAATGGGTTTTGAGTTTTCCGGAGTTCTTGTCGAATTCCATTAATTTTCCGCTGTTCCAGTTGTGCAGCTTGTCAATTGCATCCATCACTCCTTCCTACGCCCGTGGAATGAACAAGCTTCACTGGAGCATACACGCAGATCAGTGTGCCAATCGGCAATATCAAAAGTCGAACACACGACATAAACACAGTGCCGCATTTGCATGCAGTAAAATATGGGCTTATGCGGGGATAGAACGCAAAAGCCGGAATATGTGGTGCAAGTTTGATTGCCTTATGGCTCTTGATTGCACCGCCATCTCTCAGATACATGTTATAGACGTGTGCTGTGAATTGGCGACACCCAAATATCAGCGATTGGGAAGCAAGCGACATTGCGGCGCTCGTTAATCTGCGCATTTATCTGCAGATCGACCTGCCGAAATATCAAAACTCTAAGAAACGGCGAGATATTAACAGCGCTGTGAGAATGGTCAATGGGAATGGAGCTTGATCATTAGAAGCCATGTCTCGACGGCCTCTGTGTGGTGCGCAAGCCCAAATCATTCTTTGCTCCTAACCTGCCACCACCGAAATATCTCTCCCTTGAGGCCCTCAGCCTCTGAGGACAGATCCGACGACACTGCAAGGCAGCTGCGGAGCGCCTCTGCGCCCGCACCCTCCACATGGGTGGCGGGGGCCCGGCCTCCCACCCACCCCAGCAGGGCTCTAAGAGCGCCAGACACCTGGTGAAGCTTGCTGATTATCTGCACCGACCAGCACAGGGCCTCCACTGCCGCCGGGAGATTGCGACCAGACATGGAGGTGTCATCCCCTCCGCCCTCGAATGTCGCTGCTCTGCGTTCGTCCAGATTCTGCTGGATATTGTCGAGGTGCGTGTCGATCTGCATGGAAAGGCAATTCATGCGAGTTGCATGAAGTCGGGAGCAGTTTATGGATAGTGAGCGCAGGGTAGCTGCAAGACCTGATGCGCGGGGCAGCACCGAAAAGCCTCGGCTGCATGACGCGATGATGGTACAAGACAGCAGCTCAGAACAGTGAAAGCCAGTGCCTGTCAGATAATCAGTATCGCCATATCTTTTTTGTTGGCGGATGGCGTGAGAGATATCAAGAACGGCTTATGACAAGCCCTGCTGCGCGAACGGGGGGCATTGAAATTGCACCTCGCTCGGAGTTTGGAGGTGCCATCCGTCTGGGTGTGTGGTACGTGAACGAAAGGAAGCGAGGCCAATTAAAATGAAATGCTTTTCTTGCAATCGTTTCTGCCTGCGAAACTAACTATTTACATTTTCTATGGCCATTCCGGCACTGAAATATGAGAAAATTCGTCATTGAAAGAGAAGCTCATTATTCAAAAGGTGTTTTTTTCCGTTGCAAAACCGCCTTCGAGCAATACTGGTGCGCAACGCTGCAAGTTCACCAATACATGACGCAATGGGATGCGACACATTTTCGCACGGTGCAAATTATTTTAGAGACAGTGAACGGCTTTCTTTTGAGACGAGTAGTCGACATCACTGGAACGTCATCAACGGGGTGCAATTGGGTTGCAAAACATGAATGAGGTTGTAGATACGTTACAACGATGGCCCACCTGGGACGCCAAACCCTTTATTTCCTCTTGCAGAGCACCGCATATTGCTGGCCTGGCAAGCAGCGCCCCATACTTCACTAATTCA